TATTTGTTGTACTTAATGTAGCCTATACATAGCATTTTATAATAAAGACATATAATAAGAAAAAGAAAGAAAGAAAGAAAAAAAGAAAGAAAGAAAGAAAACTTACTCCCCTCCTGGCCCCCTGCGTCAGGCTCTGAGATTACTAAACTGAAACAAGCAACTGAAATTGACCAAAGCTCCAGGCTATGACTTTATCTCAGCAGAGGTTTTCCACAATAATCTAGATTGGTGGGTACCTGTCCTGGCTTCTCTATTCACCTTTATAGATAACAATCCTAAGATCTCTAATGTTTGGAGTCTAGCCTTGGTGATTCCAATCTACAAAAAAGGAGGTAGAGATTTACCTGCCAATTACCATCCCATTAGCCTTCTCAGTGCAGTCAGTAAATTATATGCTAGACACCTGTAGAATACGTTTTTGGACTGGATCATAACCGAGGACATCCTGGCTGATAAGCAGGCAGGCTTCAGAGAAGGCCGCTCACTCCTTGATGATGCTTTAACTCTTCAACATTTAATTGAAAAATACTCCTCCAGAGCTGATCAGCACTCTACACAGCCTTCATTGATCTTAGATGCACCTTTGATATCATCTCTAGATGTAAATTATGGGACAAACTGAACTCTCCCTCAATGGATAGAAGATTACTTGTTCTTATCTACAAACACCATGAAAATTCCCGGATGAAGGTGTGATGTAATATGCATGGACATTGGACCAAGGAAATCCTAGTCAAAAGAGGTGTGGGACAAGGGTGCATTCTATCTCCCTCATAGACAAATTGAACAGTCCATCTCTCCATCCACCAAAACTGGGAAACAGACACATCTCTGTTCTTCTATACGCAGATGATGCTGTGCTGCTCTCTCAGACACAGATTGCCCTGAAACGGGCACTTTATACACTTGCTGAGCACAGTCAAGAAGAATTACTATATATTAACTACTCAAAAAGCAAGGTCGTGGCATTTGCCAAGCACCCTAAGGCACATGTCTGGCGGCTAAACCACCATCTAATAGAGCAAGTTAAGACTTTCAAATACCTAGGGATTGTTTTCCATGCTACGGGCAACTGCAAATCCCATACCAACTATGTCAGCTTAAATGCGCAGAAAACAGCTTCAGCTCTACAATCTTTCTACTTCTCCAAAGGAGCCCAGCATATACCTGCAGCACTCAAAGTCTTCTCGGCCAAGATGCAAGCTCAGCTCCTCTCTGGTGTCTGGTTGGGCCCTTACAGGTCATTCCTTCCCCTTGAAAGAGTTCAATCTAAGTCCTTGAGATCTATCTTCCAAGTACCCCACTGCATTCCAAATGTGGTGCTTCAAGATGCAATCAGATGTCAGTCTTACCCAGAAACATCTGAGTGCCTCTGCACATTTACTTCACCCAGCTGGATGCCTCATTTGCATAACGACCCCCAAATTCAGAAGGGCTTTGTCCTTGGCTAGATTCAATGCCCTCTCAACAGCAGTTATTGAAGGGCGATACCGAAACTTTCCTTTTGAACAGAGATTGTACCCATGCAGTGGAGGAACAATTGAAACACTGAAACATGTTATATTGTATTGCTCCCTCTATGTTGGTGCTCACCAGGAATTACTCTTTCTGCCCATCACCAAACATTCTGGTTACTCTGATTCTTTCTATCTCAAGTTGCTACTATCAGACCAATCTGATTCTGCTTCAATGATTACAGACAAATACTGTTCCATGGTTTGTACAATGTGCTGTAATTTCTCTTCAAACACCTCCTAGATATTTTCCGTTTGGAAACATTTCAAATGCAGCTACCCATTTAGTTTCTACTTTTTATCAATGTTTTATGTCCTTGCTGTCAATTGAATCTTATTTCTGTCTTAATTTCATTAGCTGCCTGAGTTATTTTAACAATGTAGATAGTCACTATAATTGGACTAAAAGTTTATTTAGTGTGGAAACCATAATAATTCATTATGTATTATCCTTCCTTATACAATACATCATTACATTTTTTAGATATAATATTAATTACAATTTTCCATAGCTTTCAGTATTATAATGGTTCTATATATTTCAAATTAGTAATTTTACTATTTTGTTATTCTAAACTATTATTTAGTTTCCCAATATAAATTGTATCATACTTTATTATATTAATTCTATTAAACCCCAAATTCTTAAACTTTAATTTACAATTTTACTTGTATTGTTATATGATTTTATAGCTGGTTTTACTGTAATCATTTGTGACCCTTCTGTTTGGTTTGCTGGTCAATGACCAAACATTAGTAATAGTGCATCCACTGTTCTTTTTCAACTGGAGTCATGGAATAATTTTTTCTTTTAGAAATCAAAATATTAAAAAAAAAAAAAAAAAACCTTTCTGGTTCCCATCTGCTAAAGGAGGGCAAGATATATGCTGTTGAACTGGGCAGCTGTTCTTGACTTGCCTTATATAGAAGGCAGCTGGCAGCAAAAAGACACTGTTGAAATTAGTATGCTGTAAGATTAAAGCTGGCGCTCCTAAAGACTTGGAGTCAACCCAACTGAATATGTAGTATTTGATTCTAAATCAATATATTTAGGATTACACTGCAATGTTTTTGGTAAAAGGAATTTTCAGTTAAATAAAAGCTTTCTTAAAGCATGTCTGCAATTGTCCCTGAATGTATCCATGCATACTGAATAACATGAACGCCTCGAAACACTGAAGAGAATACCTTTTAGTCCGTGTTCGCCAGGCAGACCTTTAGCACCATGCTTACCAGGGGAGCCTCTCTCTCCCTGGATTCCCCTCCATCCTGGCCACCCTTTGATTCCCACAGCTCCTTTGAAACCTCCGATGCCAGAAGATCCTTCAGCACCTTTGAATGAAAATGGTAAAATAAAATATTATGTCCATCCCAAAAAAGATTCACATCATCTCAGGTCCTAAATGTCTTTAGGCTACATTTTGAAAAGAACATAAATATAAAAACAAGAAGTAGGACAGATCCTTGCTCAATATTGTTGCTAAACTACATTGAGCAAGGATCAAACGTTTTGGGCCTTTGATGAAAATCTAAAGTACAAATTTTACAGATTGAGAGGAAGCATCCACAGAATTTATATCCAAGAATATCAAAGCAGCTGAAATACGTAAGAGATTGTTGATTTTATATAGTATCTTGTAATGCAATAACTTTTATTGCTACTTTTATTATGTATTTTACTGGTGCAGTAATACCCTTTTCCTAAATCTACCCCTTTTAGCTTAACAAAAGGGCTTTAGAATTAGTGAAAATAAATCATTATAGCCTTGCAAAAGGTGGTGGTGAGTGAGAAAGGAGTGGGTTGTAACTCTGAGTTCAGGGATTTATACAGTTGTTATTTTTACCTTTTGGCCCTGGGAAACCAGGCATTCCTTCAATTCCAGGGAGACCAGCTTCCCCAGCCTTTCCTTTAGGTCCAGAAAAGCCCTGTTCACCTTTGTCCCCTGGCGGACCTTTCACACCTGCAGGACCAAATTTCCCTGGCTCTCCTGGTTCCCCTCTGGCCCCAGGGGGTCCTATAAAAAATCACATGGAAATGTTGGATTAAAACAGAAGCAGCAGAAAGACCTGTAATTGTATGGATACATAAAAAAAAACAATAGCAAGAACTTATCTGGCTGAAAAATAAGCAAAGGAAGTGTTTTCAAATAACTGACATTCCAAATGAAACTTTTTTTTTTTTAGGGATCTGGTACTGTTTAATAAGCAAACGACTCACTCTAGAGCAGTGTTTTTGAAACTTGGCAACTTTAAGATGTGTGGACTTCAACTCCCATAATTCCCCAGCCAGCCAGCCAGCCACTCCAATTCTGGGAGTTGAAGTCCACATATCTTAAAGTTGCCAAGTTTCAAAAACACTACTCTAGTATAAATCATAAACCTGCACAAATTAGAGCTTCTCTTTTGCTGTAGGATTTTATTTAATTATATATGCCAATTAGACTCTATTATGTAAAATGAAGGCATAGAAGAGTACCAGTTATTTTCTACCCAAATGTACATCAGACTTCCCACAGATCTCTTAATAATCCATATATTTAATTATTTAACTTAATTCAGGAAATTTAGTCCCATTCCTTTTAATTGATGGTGAGTAAAATAAAGTGCTGGTCGGTCAATTATATAACATATAATACAAAATACACCCTGCAACCTCTGATTCATCCTTCCCACAAGGTTGTCTCTCCCCCCCCACACCACTATGGGTCAGACCACAACAGGAATTGACCCGATTACTGTGGTATACAAACATAATAATAAATAAAGCTTTCATCATTCCAAATCAAGAGGGGATGATGGAGTTCTGAGGGCAGCAAACTGGAAAAGTATTTTATTATTTGGCACAAAGGAGAACATATCTCTTAAGATGATGCTATCAGCAGTTTTAATTGGTAGTGGGTTTTTTTAGTGGCTGGAAAGTTTTAAATCTATTAGTCAGTTAAACATGGCATGCTGTGGTTATTTCAATCTAGGACCTGAGCTTGGAGAGAAATTTAGGTCTCCCAATAATTAGCATATGAAGAGAAAAATTGCTATAGCTTTTTACTTTAGAATGAAATTTGCTATCCCTACCTGACTTAATTTCAGAGAAAAATCTACAGGGATGTTTGAGCTAGGACCTTTAAATGTCTGAAACATTGTTTTCTGGCATTTTGGGGGGACAAAATTAAAACTGCAAGTAATGGTGCTCTTTCTTTGGAGATAAAAACTGTCATATTTCAGTTTACTTAGGTGCAGGGATTTTTATGGAAATGTCTCTGGATAAATGGAAGTGGTTTAAAGTAAGTATTAATCTCCTTTCTTGCTAAAATAAATAAATAAATAAATAAAAAGGCAGCCTTTAGGAAAAATGCAGACTTCGTAAAGATGACACTTGATAAGAAACCTGCTATTTTTCTTTTTAAAAAGTATAAGAATAAATGGCTAAGCCTGGGTTTTCTTGAATTTTGATTTTTAAAGGCAGGTAAGTACTTCAGATTTTCATTTTGGACTGAATTAGATGCCAGAATTGGAGCACTTTAAAGCTTTGGATCTGAAGAAAAAAGGGTGATTCAGAGTGTGTGGGAGCACTCAAGTTGCGCCTATTGGCAATTCGTTAAAGTAGCTGCCCTCTGCAAAAAGACAGATTTGATTTAAGGAGATGCCAACAAGCGCACCTTACGTATCCACAGAACCTTTGAAGCACCTGTTTCCTTTTTAATCCAAAGCACTGCACAGCCATATTCAGAACATATTTGCTATAGACAAAGGACTCTTGAAAGCAGTATACCTGAAGATCCTCTAATAAACTTTTCCCTATAATAAGAAGGTAAACCTGCCAGTCATTGTAGTGCTCTCCATTTTGCCATCTTACACAAGGCATACAGCTTTTCTGGCAGATAGTACAGGTAGTCCTCGACCTATGACCATTTGTTCAACTACCATTCATAGTTACGATGGTGCCGAATGAATGGTGGTTACGACCATTCTCAGTGTCCAGCCATCTCAGCATCCCTGCGGTCACGTGATAGCAATCTGGGTGCTTGGCAACTGGTTTGCACTTACAACTGGTTGCATTGCCCCACAATCCTGTGATTGCCATTTGCAACCTTCCCTGTTGGCTTCCCCAGAAAGTCAATGACAAAGCCAATAGGAAGGTCGCACGTTGCTGGGGTAAGTTTCCCTCACCTGTGCATCCTTCCCCAGCCCCTCTGCACTCATGCTGTGCTGGCTACTTGCACACCTCCATGCACCCTCCCTGTGCTTGTCATGCACCCCCTTGCATCATTGTGCACCCTAGTACCCCTCCTTGACTTGCGTCTCTTGTGCACCCCTTCACACCCTCATGCATCCTCCCTGACATGCACAGCGCCTCTTGCACACCCCCATGCACCCTCCCCCAACCCACACTGCACCTCTTGCGCACCCCCATGCACCCTTGAGCACAGTCCCTGCCCCATGTTGCACCTCCCATGCACCCCCTTGCACCCCCTCCCCAACCTGCACCTCTTGTGTACCCCCTCACACACCCTCCCTGTTCCTCCCTTGCATCCTTGTGCACCCTCCCCAACCCTCCCCTGTGCACCCCCTCGCTTCCTCCCCCACCTGGCAGCACCCACTTACCTGCCTGCTGGTCTGGGACTTGCAACTTTCTGCCGGTTTCCCCACTGACTTTGGTTGTGGAAAGCCTGCAGGAAGTTGCCTCACCTAACAATCGTGGGATTCGGTTAACAACAGCAACTGGGACTGCAAGGATTGCCATTGCTAAAGCATGACTGCATTACTTAGTGACAGAAATTCTGGTCCCAATTGCCATCGTAAGTCGAGGACTACCTGTACAGTATTTGTCTTTTTGTAGTGCTCAGAATGCTGGATTATAGATACAACAATTCCAACTCAGTTTAGGCTGCTTCATAGGAATCCTGGCTGCATCCAGACACAACTTTCTGTTTATTATAAAGTTCACCCAAGTTATATAAAAATTCTGCACCAGCACAGTAAACTATGTAAATTGGGACTTTCAACATTGTTTGGGTTCAAGTATATTATACATAGTATATAACATCACATACAGCTAAGGGATCACTAGAATGCAGAAGCAATTTCTAGTGACTTTGACATGGGTGGTGTAATTAAACTGGGCAAATTTAAAATATACAACTCCAAGTTTCATCATGTTGAAATCAATTGCAAAGCTTACTTCATATAAATACTGAAAATACTAGACTTAAATAGCAATTTAACAGAACAGAGTTCTGATCTCCAGGGCACAGTTCTGGTTAGACCACATATGGGCCTTCTACATTCTGCAGATTTTGCAGAGCACACAGGACCCCTTCCTGCTGTCTGGAAACAGCTGAGGTGCGATCTGATCAGTATGCCCTCCTGATGACATTTATCTGAGAGCAAGAGAAGGGATCTTCAGCTGGCCATTTGGTTGGGCAGTAGGCCCTGAAGAGGTCTGATAGAATCTGAATGGAGATAGTTTAAACCTCTTTTGTCACTGAATGTTGAGGTGGGGTAGAAGTTGAGAGTGCCTTTGGTGGGAGACAGACCCAGAGGCTGCTTTGGTATGTCCGTGTGGGGGTGTGAATAACCGAATGGGGAAAGGCTTGGTAGGTTCACATGCGTGGGATGGGAAAAGGGGATGCAGAGGCTGCTAGATTGTTGCCTACAAGAGCAAAACAGAAGGTGATGAGGCTGTACAATCAAAATATGACTCTAAATGCAAGGAAGGTTTTGGGGGGAATACTGAAAGAATTTCTCACCCACAAATCCTTGGGAGCCTTTTCTGCCCAGGGACCCTTGCTGGCCTGGCAGTCCAGGGAAGCCAAATGTTGCTGGTGGTCCTCGTATACCGGTCAAGCCGGTGGGGCCAGGAAACCCAGGATTCCCCTGGGATCCAGGTGGACCAGGGAAGCCATCTTTTCCTAACAGAAGGATACAATAAATAAACAGCAATGCTTTAGAGAACGAGTATGTACGGTCACAGGGCTGATTCTTACTAAATTAATCCAACCTTTTTCTAGTGGAACTTAAGCAATGGCTATCTTGTTCCTAAGAGCCTGAATCCTGTCCAAAATCCTGCAAGTACTGATAAACAGTGATGATGAAACCAGTGGAAAAGTGGCTTGGCTATAAGCTCTTATGTTGAAATCACCTCTTTGCTTACGAGCAGCATTTGCTTGAGCACCTCTGTGTAAAGGCACTCTTTTCTTAGCTGATGATTATTGTTTCTTCCACTGGAGTAACATGCAGTATCTTTGGCGTTGGTAATGGACTGCATCCAAGAATAAAAATCATGAATCTGTTCAAATTCAAATTCAAATTCAAATCCATCCCAGTCAATGACTGAGTGCACTTACCTACACACGATAATATAAATGATCTTAAAATAACTTAAAACTAATAATCACAAAACCAATTTACTCTAGACTTATACCAATCAAGAAACAAGCATACGTATCTTCTCTAAACTTTCCAGCCATTGCACACAACACACACACAAATGAACACACACACACATATATGCACACATAGATGGCAAGCAAAGAAATAGGTGGTGACATACTGTGATCACGCTGGAAGGACTATAAAATTAGGGCATAAGAGAGAGATGTATATCCTTATACAATACACAGCTTTAGGAAGGCATGTTCTATGGATTTAACCCTCCCCAGAGCTACAAGGGCAAACTATCTTTTCATACTGAATTTTCATACATTTTCCAAATAGTACTGCTCTAGGTAAGTTGTTACATTTTCCCCATGTAAAGGCTTTTCTGAATTTGGGATTGTTATATCCAGAAGATAATCAGATGGCTTCAGGAAAGAGTTCTAGTCCAGGTTAAAATAACTTGGAAACAGTGACAAATCCAATTGATATTCTATAGCCATTATCTAATTGCGGTCCTGGCACTCTCCAAAAATGCCCTGAAGAAAATTGTAGCCTAGACTCCAAAGGGCAATTGTGCAACTGTTTATTCGCAGGAAAACCACTAACAGAGTCCAGCTGATTTATATGGTTTGGGAGAATACTTCGGGGTTCCCATTCTATTTTAAGCCAAAGCTCACATATTAAGTCAGAAATGGACTTTAAGCTCCACTAATATTCAAAAGCAGACTCTAAGTGGGGTTTTTTTTTTAAACTACATTTCAGAGTACTGCATGTGGACTATGCAGAAATCACTGTATTGCCCTACATCATCAAAGCCTATGTTATCATTTTTTAAAAAAAATTCCAGGAAATTCATTCTGAACCTTTGTATGCACTGGTGCCAGGTCAGTCATGGTTACTGGAGTCCTCCTCAGAACTACAGATAAGTGCTGATGATGCAGCCTGCACCTCATGCACTCAGTTAGAAGACTGTCTGTGAGACTCTGGTGTCATTGGAGATACACCATGTGGCTCCTTGCCTTTTCTATCCTGCTGCAGAACCGGCAGAACATTAACAGCCCCAGTGGCTCCTCCAACACCCAACGCTGGTCTCCTCAGCTTTCTGCCACCCTCTTTGTCCTAAGGTATAAGGCACTACTGCACCATTTCTTCCCCTTATTAAGCCTTTGCATAAACTGAGCAAGAGTTACCTCTAAATCCTGGTGGCCCTTGATCTCCTTGTGAGCCTTTTGCTCCTGGGAATCCAGGTGGCCCAGCGTCCCCAGGAGGGCCTGGTGGTGCTCCTAGCACATCACCTGTAACCCCCTTTTCCCCCAGGAGTCCTGGCAAACCTGGAAAACCAGGATTTCCTGGAAGCCCCTTTTCCCCAGGCAATCCTGGGGCACCTCTGCTTCCTCTGGGTCCAGTGAATCCTAAGCGTAATAAAATGACAGTGGAAATAAGAATCAAACTTTGATCAATTAATACTGAATTAGACAAATTATGAGGAAAAAAGCTTAAAATAATCAGAATCATGAGTATTATTAATCAAATTAACAATTATTCACATTAATTTCCATGGGAATATAAAGTGATTGCTTAAATCTCTCATTTGCATATCAGTACAACCTAAACAATAATAACCTGTTGTAGCCTGGATGTAATTTAGAAAAAATTTTGGTGTAATAGTCTGATCAGAGATATTCCAATAGCAGCATTATTTCATTTTAATTTGTTCATCAAATTAAAATTTTCTCAGTGCTGCCTTCCTTTACTTCCCAAACATGTGAACTTTAATCTGTTGGTACTATCAGCCGTTCTTACAGTTAAATTAATTTGCTCAAAAAAAAAAAAAGCTAAATATCATGTTCAGAGGGTACAAATGGAATTAATGTTAGATAGTGTTACAGCTGTATATTCTTCTATTATATTAAGAGATTAATAATTAAGTATCATAAGCGCATATTTGAAATTTACTTTAGAATTTGAAAAAAGTAGAAACAAATTCTGGCCCTGACACTCTGCTTATTCTCCCATTCCTTGATCACCCAGGAACATATGGGTGCACATATTTAATTTAAGGAATGGGAAAATAAAAGACCTCATAGGATTAGAGACAATTATTTATGGGACGCAGTGGCACAAGGGCTTAATGACTCTGGAATTTGCCGGTCAGAAATGGTCGGCACTCCACTGGTTCGGGCCCGGCTCTGCGGGATGGGGTGAGCTCCTGTCCCTTGTCCTAGCTCCTGCCCACCCAGCAGTTTGAAAGCTATTCCATCTTTTTGTTTTTCAGT